CAACTAAAATTCACTAAACCAAACTTTTACTCATCAAAAAAGAAATGTTGGCTTGTATCTCCCTTTAGAAATTCCAATTTGGATTAAATTGACCTGAAATAACTCCTAATTGCTTTAGAACAAAAACAAATCAATGTATAGCCCATAAAAACACTTAAATATGGGCTCTTGATCGCTAATGTTCAATGCTAATCTTACTAAAACTAGAACAAAAAATGCAACTTAAGGTATAAAACTTTCTATTCTGTTGCACACGCCTATTTAGTTAAAATGGTCGTAACTTGCTCAAAACGCATCACAGGTACAAGATCTTGGTCTCGTTGGATAGATAACCAACTTAATGTCACTAGGGATGCAAGTTGGATACCCAACTTGAAGAATTTACACTTTATCAAACCCCTGGGCCCTTGGGGTGGTACCATTTAAATTTTAAAAATGCTCAACCCAAAGCCAGCCAAAGTTGCAGCCCTAAATGACACCAATACCATGAAAAATGGGCAAGTTTTGACCCCAGAACAATAGGGTGAATAAAAGTGGCATGACTGCTGCTTCACCCAATGTTACTGATGCAGTAAAGTGATGACTAGTTGTATTGGCCTCTTTGACTAGTCAACAAAGAAAGATCTCTTCTAAATTTAAGATATTGATGCTAATAGTCCTAACATTAAAAAGTTAGGCTTGATAGGTTAGAATAGGGAATTACAGCAACTGTTTTTACACAGAAAGAGTGCAACCTAACTATTTGATGTACCCCTTGTTTGTGGAAACTCCATACCAACACACCACTAATCATCGTTGTTGTCGTAGTCATCGTCAAAACCGTACCCCAACTATATGGGGTCAGCTATTTGAATCCTGTTTCACCATTCCTTTCAGTTTAATGCAATATCTATTGTTAAATTGCGAGCACTTAAATCCTGTTTCCCTTGGCTGTTTTGTGGTTAGTTTGGTTGGAAAGAAACTCAAGAATCCTTGAACAGAAGAGTAATCTGCTGGAGAAAGTGAACAATGGTGTAGTGGAGGCTCCAAGACAACAGTTATCAATCTCTCCATTTTCCAAATGGCAGTAATCTCTCCTCTTTTTTGGCTGTTAACTTTTTTGGGGAAATCTGAAATCTTGTGTAAAATACAGTCTTTTTTTTTTTTGGAAAAGGTAAGGATTTTATTAAATCAATAGCCAGTACAAAGGAGCCTAGGCCATTAGAGGCTGCCTAGAGCCACCACAAATTACAGATACATCCAGTTCTGAGCCATTGCCGACACCCAGGACAGAAGTTTACCCACAGCTTTCTGCACCATTTCCTCTGGAGATTTAGCTTTGCCCTGAAAAATGCTGTTTTTTCTTTCAATCCAGATAGTCCAAAGCACAGCAGCCGGGATAGTCTTCCAAATCAAGGTACCTTTCTTGCTGAGACCATCAATATGCCAACACAACAGCAGATCCTTCACAGAATTTGGCATTACCCAGCTGATTTCCAAAGCTTGAAGAAAATGCCTCCAAATATAATTCGAGACTGGGCAATGTAAGGCAAGATGTTCAGTAGTTTCTACTGCCCCTCCACACAAGCCACATGACATGTCCAAAATTTGTATGCCACGTTTCACTAGATTAATTTTGGATAGACATTTATTTAAAGCCATTGTCCAGAGCAAAAACTTCACTTTAGAAGGACTGATTGAGTTCCAAATCTGCCTAGCCGGAAAGTTTCCCTGACCTGAACTTATCAACTTACTGAACATAGACTTTACAGAGAACCTGCCATCAGGTTCCCATTTCCATGTCCAAGCATCCTCCATGTTTGGGTCAATCCTCTGGTTATGGAGCAGGCCCAACAGATTTGCATACTCCTCAATTTCCCAGTCAAAGAGACGYCTCCTACAAGTTAGGTTCCAACTGAAAGAGTTACCATCCACATTGAAATTCTCAGCCACCGAGGAATCCTGATTTACAGAAATTTGATACAAGAGAGGGAAGGCATCTTTCAAACACACTTCAGAACACCAAGAGTCTTTCCAAATTTAATTCGTTCCCCATTTCCCAAGTTGTAACCGATTCCTTCCTCAAATAAATTAGAGTTCTTCATTAATACAATTTACCTTACCTCATTGTACAGTTACACATATTGATGATAATTAATACAATTTACCTTACCTCTTCTCAAAAAGAAATAATTTCTTACCACTTCAGACAATGTCCTTTTTGGTTTGCTCCTAACCCTTCTAGCCCCTTCAACTTGCAACTGATTGAAAGAAAACTTAAAAGAACCTTTTCACCACTTACATTTTTTGTTGTGTGCCTTATTTCCATTTTATAGGGATCATTGTTTGGTATAATTGGTAAAATCTTGGGCTGAAAAGCATGAGAGCATGAGTTCAATTCTGAGAGCGGGGGGGAGACGAGCCAAAGTTTAGGTCTGTATCCAGTCCACTCATCCCAAGACCCTAGATAACTGGAACCAACATTTGGTAAAGGCCTTTTGGCCTTATTTCTATTTAATATACCACCAGCAAACCATGTCCCACAAGAAAAACCTAAGATATAAAAAAAGTAAAATTCTTTTGATAGTATATATAAAAATTATATTATATTATATTATATTATTTTAAATTGTCATCTAATCCCAATTAAATGTTGTCAGCTACACGAATCCTGTTGCATCATTCCTTTCTATTTAATGCCATATCAACTGTCAAATTATGAGCGCACAAATCATCTAATTACTACTTCAACCCATGTCCTTTTTGGTCTGCCCCTAGCCCTTGTAGCTCCTTCAACTTGTAATAAATTGTTTTTTTTACTGGTATTAGATGGCCAAACCATCTTAGTCTACTTTCTCTAGTTCTATCACCTATTTTGAACTTACTCTATTAACTTAATAGCAACAAATTAGAAAATAACTTTTAAAAAAACTCAAATCAACCAAAATCCAAATCACCAGAAATTATGAAATTGCATTGGTCATGGGATTTGCAAGAATTTGATTTCTTCCATGGTTTCATTCCTTTTCAACATTTTAATAGTAACATTATAGATATGCAAAGCATTTTTTTTTTTTTGTTTTGAAAAGGTAAGATAAATTTATTAGAACAAACTCATAAAAGTACAAAACAGAACCTGCCAACAAACAGGCAGGCCTGATGGACCCCTATTACAAGCACCAAATTAACTGATTTCTCAATAAATGAGTTATATTTGTGTGTCTGAATTCTGGGGTGACTGAAATCCAAGAGAGCAGTTTACCAACAGCTAGCTGAACTATAGCCTCGGATCCTCTCACTCTTTGATTAAAAATTTTGTTGTTTCTCTCAGACCAAATGGCCCAAATCACAGCTGACAAGATAGTGATCCAAACCAATTTCCCCCTTTTCTTCAATTTACTAATCTTCCAGCAATATAGTAATTCCTTAACCGATTTAGGCATGACCCAACAAATCCCCACCGCCTTCAAGAAATGATACCACACCTGAGCAGCAAACGGGCAATGAATGCATATATGATTCGTTGATTCCTGATGATCACCACAAAGGACACAGGACTTATCCAGGATCTGCAATCCTCTTCTCTCAAGATTGGTTCTGGACAAACATTTGTCTAATGCCATTGTCTAGACTAGAAAGTTAACTTTAGAAGGGCAGACTGAGTTCCAAATCTGTTTAGCAAGGAAATCCCCCACTGCCACTCTACTACAAAGTTTACTAGCCATTGATTTAACTGAGAAAACACCCGCTTTGGACCAGATCCAACTCCACTGATCATCCTGACTGTGGTCAATGATTTGAGCCTGTAGAGTCTCCAACAGTTTTGAAGCTTCTTGAATTTCCCAATCAAAAAGATATCTTCTAAATTGAGGAGCCCAAATCACTTCATTGCCCAAAACTGTGTAAGTTTCAGCAACCGAGGCATTCTGGTTGGAGGCACATTGGAAGATAAGAGGGAATTCATCAGCCAAGGAATGATTCAGACACCAATGATCTTTCCAAAATTTGATTTTATCCCCTTTTCCGACTTTGAAGTTAATTCCCCCATCAAACAAGGGAAAAACCATCATGATACTTTTCCATAAAGAATAACTCCAGTTAGATGGGGGGGTTAGTTCTCCAGTTTCCCCACTCAACCCTAAATTTAGATGCAATTAGGCTTCTCCACCAAGCTCTCCTTTCAGTGGCAAATCTCCATATCCATTTGCAAAGCAGTGCTGAATTTGTTACCTTAATTCTTCTCAAACCTAGACCCCCTTGTTCCTTAGGAAGGCAAATTTGGTTCCAATTCACAAGGTGGATTTTCCTTTTTTCCTCCCAACCCCTCCACAAAAAGTTTTTCTGGAGAGTCTCTATTTTTCTAGCCACTTTATTTCGGATAGGGAAAAGAGAAAGAAAGTAGGTAGGAAGGTTGGAGAGAGTACTTTCTAGAAGGGTCATTCTACCACCAAAGAAGAGATACTTAGCCTTCCACGAGGATAATTTCTTTTACAATCTTTCAATTATTGGATCCCATATGGCAAAGGAGGAACATTTAGTCCCCAATGGAAGGCCCAGGTACCTTACCGGAGCTGATCCACCTAACTAGCCAAAACATTAGCACAATCTTCGAGGTTAGGGATTTCACCCATTGGGATGATTTGACTTTCATTATGGTTGACTTTCAAACCTGTGACTACTTCAAACCAACTGAGAATCCCAAGCAGATTTTCCAACTATACAAGAGAAGCATCAATAAAGCATAAGGTATCATCTGCAAACTGAAGGATGTTCACTTTTTCACCCCTGGGGAAATTGCAAACCCCTCCCACAACCAAATAGGGAAAAAAACATAAACATATTCTAACCACAATTAAAAAAAAATTAATTAATAAATACATTCTTAATTTATCTATGACACAAAACATGGATGTAATGCAGTTTGCCAATATCTAGTCACAAATAGAATTATAGTTCAAAATATTTATACATCATATGGAAATGGAAAAAAAAAAGTCCAAAGGTATCATCAAAGAGCTTACTAGTTGACTTGTCAAAGATTATCACCGAAGGATCAAGTTGATTAATTTTTGGTTCCTCAATCTTAGCTTTCCAAAGTGCAATAACTGTGCGAGGTTGTGCATCCTGCTCATTCAATAAAAACTCCTCATAAGGAATTTACAATGTCTATAAAAACTAATCATTTAGTTTTAACTAAAGAAGAACAAAGCATTATAACAGAATATAGCATCAATTGAAGGTGTATACAAGTATGAGCTGCATAAACTCAAATACAGCAACAAACAAGTTGTGAGTTCAACTTCTCCTCTAATCTATATATGTATATAGATATAGATATAATTGATTACCATGTTCTATGGATATGATGGTTTCCACCCACCCCTCATCATTCTAGTAAAAAAGTATTGTTATCACCTTAATTAGCAAAGCACATAAAATGGAACTTTAGCAGACATCCCCTTCCCACAACACACACACACACAGAATATTAAATAGATGCCCTTGTCTGTGTCATCATCAGCCAGTGCAAGTAACAAGGGTGGGAAGTGGAGATTGAGTGTTTGGTTGATGGGGATGTAAAGGTGGGCAAGAGCTTAGGTCTGTTTTTTTTGGGGCAGAGAGGAGTTTGCTAGAAGGGCTTTCGAAGCATTTGAGAAAAGCAAGAGGGAAGAGAGCTTGAAGAAGATCGTTGTTGGGGAAGGAGAAGAGGTGTGGAATGAGGAAAGAGATGGACAAGAAAAAATGTTTGAAGAAGATGTTTAAGATGTGTTGTTCGGGGTGGCATTCTTTCTTTCCCTTATGGTTGTGCTATTGAATTATGTTTTTGTTGTTTGTTCGGTGGGTGTTATCTTAACACCTGGATGGTGATTGTAATCGGTCTTCTCTTTTTTTTATTTTAATAATTTTTTTTTCCTTTTAACTTTCAAAAATAAAAAGCTTGGAACAGGAAAACAATACTGGATAAGAACAGAGATTCTGAAGGAACAGTGTTGGCAATGGTAGTGTTTGAAGAAGGATTGATGGATAAGAGGTGTATGTTCATGTAGCAAATGTTTAGATAAACATACGCAACTTCTGATGCACTTCAAAGCTACAACCGATAATAGGAACATTTTTTTCATTGATATTGGAAATATGCGTAAGGTCATTGTAGGCAAAGACTTCTCTATTTGAAGGAGAAAAAGAAAGTTGAAGACCACTGCTATAAGGATGCATTCCACAAATCATTTTCAAGGCAATGAAAGTAACAAATATGAAGTCATTTGTTGAACTCGGTTTAGAAATTTTTAACAAATATGAAGTCATTTGTTGAACCCGGTTTAGAAATTAAAAAAAAAAAAAAAAAATCAATGTCCTAGATGTTTGCAATTGAAAAGCTCACTACAATTAGAAACATAAAATATGCAGTTGCAAATGAGCATCAAGAACCCTAAAAACAATAGAACTGTTTTCAATATGCTAACCATGACTTGACAAACCAAAAGGAATGCTAACACATCAGGCACCACCATACATTGTGTTTAGCAGAGGTAGGTGAAATGGCTTTTAATATAAAGCATGCTTCCTTTTTCCTTTTTAGGTAGGCAAATGAGCTACACAATCAGGTGGCATCCCTCAACCATAAAGCATGTCTTGGTCCTCTTGGATCTGACTGCTAAGGGCCCGTGAATAGGATCTCGTCACGGGTCGGTCCACGGGGAAAACCTCCTGTTTTCCCTTGTTCCTCCCTTTTCTTGAGGAACCTATCTTGGTGCCTTAATGGTGATTTGTCCAAGAGATCACCAACCCTCCTCTGCTCTTTCTTGACTGAAAATTTCGAT